AAAAAATATCTGTGGCCGTGGAGTCGATTCCAACTCATAGCGACCCTAGAGGACACAGTAGAACTGCCCCATAGGGTTTCCGACGAGCAGCTGGTAGATATGAACCATGACCTTTTGGTTAGCTCTTAACCACTGTGCCACCAGGGCTCCACCACAATGTATAGTAAGCTATAATTTGTGTTAAAAAAAAATGGGGAAAGGAACAAGAACATGTATTTATATTTGCTTATATATGTTAAAGGAAATTCTAGAAGGACACCTTGGAAACTAATAACAGTGCCTACTTGGGAAATAGGAACTGGGCTTTATTTTTGAGCTAAGTGACTGTGTTACCTATTCAAAAATGATGTAAAAATAAGTCAGAGCAGTAACAACAGAAAAGGAGGAATTGCAAATAACACTTCTATCATAGCATAAGAGCACTTATTTCCATTTGCAACAAGTCAAACAATGGAAATATGACGAATTACAGGGTACATGTAATTCAACAATAAGGTACTTGTCCAATGGCTCTATTTTTACTCACAATGTGTAAAATTCAGAGATGTCTAATTCCTCAATTTCTGAGGGGCAGTTGAAGAGTCACCCACTTCGGCTTCAGCTAGACATGGTTTTCTGAGATGACAGCTGGCATGTGGCCTTATCTAAGATCAAGTACCATTTCTAATTACAGGCAGTCCCCGAGTTACAAAAGACATACACTCCTAAGTCTGTCTTTAAGTCGAATTTGTAGGTAAGTCGAAACACGGAAATACGGTTCTTATTTAGCGTCAGTTAGTCAAATCTTTGTCTTAGTATATATTTTACCTTTCTATGCATATAAAACTCTTAAGAAACACTTCCAAACCATGCAATGTTTTCATGAGTGTACAAAGTAGTGCATGGGTTTGTTTTCACAAACCATTGTATTTAACTCAGGGGCCCTGGTGGCGCAGTGGTGAAAGTACTTGACTGCTAACTGAAAGGCTGGAGGTTCAAACCCACCAGCCACTCTGTGGGAGAAAGATGTGGCAGTCTGCTTCCTTAAAGATTTACAGCCTTGGAAACTCTATGGGACAGTTCTACTCTGCCCTTTATGGTCACTATGAGTCGGAATCGATTTAACGGCAATGGTTTGTGTGTGTGTGTGTGTGTGTATGTATTTAACTCAAATTTTTAATATAAAAGGCTTAATGGCAATCCATTTGTAAGTATGAGTTGTCCGTAAGTCAGACGTTCATAATCCAAAAAAAAAAAAAAGCTTTCAAAATGAGGAAGACATCTTAAAGACATCACCACCTGGGGAAGGCTTCTCTCAAGTTAAAGAAGCACATGTAACAAAGCCCGGGCCATGCAGGCCTCAGTCCTGGAGAAGAGAGGAACAACTGGCCAAAGTCTAGAATAAACCAGAATTAGTCCTGGAAGGAGAAGGACAGACAGACACATACCACATAGCCTCCTACGTCCGAAAAAAAAAACAACCAAAAAACCAAATCCGTTGCTGGCGAGTCAATTCCGACTCATAGTGACCTTACAGGACAGAGCAGAACTGCCCCATAGGGTTTCCAAGGAGTGGCTGGTGGATTCGAACTGCCAGCCTTTTGGTTAGCAGCCTGAGCTCTTAAACACTGTGCCACCAGGGCTCCAAATAAGGGACACTGAAACAGACACTAGTATGATGTAGGAACCAACTGATGATTCCCCTAAATCTCGTTATTTCTATAAGTCCTATCTCTTGTTTTAACTGTTCAAGCATCTTTTTAGAAATGTAATAGTCAGTGTAAGCTATAATAGCTGCTATAATAAATAACCCCCAAGTCTCTGTGGTTCGATACAATAGTGATTCTTCTTTATACATATCATAGCCCAATGCAGGCTGAGGGTTGGTGGACCTTTTTCCATAGTCATGTAGGAATCCAGGCTGAGAGGCTCTACCATCTTCAACACACGGCTTCTCGGCCATCCTGGAAACTGATGTCCAACCAGTTCACAGAAGAGAGAATGGAGAACCCTGCAGAACATCTAGGGAGCCAGGCCTGGAAGTGGCATACAACCTCTCTCTTTATATGCCATTGGTGGAACTCAACCACGTTTCCAACTAACTGCTGGGAGATATAGTTTGCGTATCTGAAAAAAAGGAGGAGCCCTGGCAGCAAAGTGGTTAAATGTTTGGCTGTTAACCAAAAGGTCAACAATTCGAATCCATCAGCTGCTCTTGGAAACCCTATGGGGCAGTTCTACTCTGTTCTATAGGGTCACTATGAGTCAGAATCAACTTGACTGTTTTTTTTTTTAATCCAGAAAAAGGTAATCTAGGGAACACACAACACTGTCTCTGCCACTAGCTATTGATGTGATTTTCTCCTTCGAAATGTTGAAAGGATTTCCTGCTCTCCAATGATCTTTACAGTAACCCTGTAAGCTAGACTGCGCAGATACTATCGCCATTTTCTAATGAGGGAAATGGAGTTTAAAAGAAGTTAACTGACTTGACTAGGATCACACGAATACTAAATGATGAAGCAGGAGCTTGCACTCAAGTCTTTCCACAGTACATCTGCTGTCTCTCATCCAAATCAAAAGTTACTTGTTGTGATGGTCAATGTATGTGTCAACTCAGCTAGGCTATGATTGTCAATGGTTTGGCTAGGCTATGATTCTCAGTCATTTGGCCCCCCCAAAAAAACCCACTGCCGTTGAGTTGATTCTGACTCATAGCACCCCTATAGGACAGAGCAGAACTGCCCCATAGAGTTTCCAAAGAGTGCCTGGTGGATTCGTACTGCCAATCTTTTCGTTAGCAGCCGTAGCACTTAATCACTACGCCACCAGGGTTTGGCAGACACTATGTAATCATCTCCCATTTTATGATCTGATGTGAGCAGCCAATCAGTTTTAAGAGGAGTTTCCTTGGGTGTGTGGCTTGCATCCATGATATAAACAGATATTCTGGCAAAGCTCTCTCCCCCCTGCGTCTGACCTCTGGTTCTTGGGAAGCCAGCCAGCAGAGGCTTCCAGCCTGTCTCCTGACCTGTAGCTTTCAGGTTCGTCAGTCCCTGCAACCACATGAGCAAGCAGAGGTCATCAACCTGTTGTCTGACTCACAGACTTGGCACCTGCCAGCCCCCACAATTGGGTGAGCTATTTTCTTGAGTATCTACATATCTTTAGACGCTTCACTAGTTTTGTTCCTCTAGATTACCCAGATTAAGACACTCGCCTTGTTTCCATAACCATAATCAATCATAACTTCAGAAAATTAACAGAATTGTATGCTTATAGATTCCTCATCAATTTATTTCCTAAAAAAAAGACCTCGTTATCAACTTAGTTTATAGGCCAACATAAAAACTTATAGACTATGTGATAATTTAATGAAAGTATTATAAAAAATAACATAAATTGAATGCCAACAATTATGGAAAAATTACAGCCTTTAGTTTTTCAAAAATTGCTTCTCCCTCTTCTCTCTTCTGAACACCTCTCAGATGCATGTCGAATCTTCTGTCTTCTACTTCTTAAAAATCTCTTGTTAATTTTCTCCGGTCTATTTTCCAGTTTGCTAATTCTGTCTTCAGCTCTGTCAAACCTGCTTTCTAATCTGTTCATTTGTCCAATGAGTTTTTAAGTTACTAATTTCTAGATGTTCTAAATGGTTCATTTTCAAATCTGCCTGGCTCCTTTTCATAGTATTTTATTCTTATAGTTTTGTAGTTCTTTCATGTCTTTAAGAAATAACTTTTCGAAGCATCTATCAGATTGCTCGATTAATTATCTGAAATCCTGGGGGTTTCATTCTGTTTTTAGAAATCTGTTCACTTTTACTCATGATGAATTATTTTGTATTTATAATTTTCTTCTTATTTTAAATGCATATTCAGAGGGGCTTTATCTATGGGAAGCCCATGCAGCGTCGATTGAGAGTGGATTTCTCTACTAGTTTTGTGTTTGCTTCTGCAAGGTATCTAGTGGTACTACTGGCTCGTTTTTAGTTCCAATTTTTATGCCAACTTTTTGCTTGTTGTTTCCCGGATATAAACATTTAGACCCGGAACCTGTTTGTGACCTATGATTACAAACTTTCAGCAAAGGCATTTTCTCTACCTGGAGTCCAGCTTCCTTGTTTGTGGCTATATGTGGATTTTTTTAAGCCTTTTTTTTTTTTTTTTCCTGACAGTAGAGCCTTTGGAAGAGCCCTGGTGGTGTAGTGGCTAAGAGCTCAGCTGCTAACCCAAAGGTCGGCAGTTTGAATCCACCAGCTGTTCCTTGGAAACCCTATGGGACAGTTCTACTCTGTCCTATAGGGTTGCTATGAGTCGGAATCAACTTGACAGCAGTGGGTTTTATAGTCCTTGGAAGGCTCTAGCTCTAGCATAAGCTTTACACCCAAGTCTCTGGATAACGGAGAGCATCCACACTCCCTCCCCTGGAGGCTACAGAGCTGCTTCGTGGCCTTACTACTGGGCTGTCCACCCCATTTTATTTTCAGGCTCCTGGAGATGTCCCTCACAATTTGGTGAGATCAGCTCTGCATATAAAAGGACACTTGTCGTACTTTCCTAGATTTTCCAGGTGTTTCGGGGGAGGGAGTCCACTGTATGGTTGGAACTGGAAGTACCCCATCCTACAATTACAGTTACGAAAAAATATCATTAAGCAATGGAAGGGAACACAGACACATTTCAGTATATGTGTTCAAGGACTGGGCGTAGAGACGATGACTTTCTTTTTTAAAAAAAATTGCCTGAAGTATGGTCAACGTAACTAGTACTACCACACACAGCCGTCAAGTTGATTCCGACTCCCAGTGACCCTCCAGGACAGAGTGGACTGCCCCGCAGGGTTTCCAAGAGGTGGCTGGTGGCTTCCAACTGCCAACCTTTCGGTTAACAGCCTGAGCTCTTAACCACTGCACCACCAGAGCTCCAGTTAATGCAACACAACCAAGAAAAAAGAAAGACCCAACCTAAATAAAACTATGAACTAAACTGGTATTTCAAAGACAGGACCCAAAGCACAGATTTAGGGCTTTATATGTTTATTAAACCAAGCTTTTACATTATATATCCACCTACAGTCTGTAAACAAATACAGTACACATGTAAGCAGAAGGCTAGCAGATCAGAAGTAGTGGAAAAACGAAAGTTCCCTCTGCACACTGGTGCCTCACCCAGCACCCTCCTTGAGCTGATGCCACAGGGCCATATTAAAGCCAAGCGTCCAATGAAAAACCAGAAAGAGCTTATTCTGACTCCACCTCCTAGAATGGACTTCAGGACAGGTATCTGTTCCACATTACAGCAGGCTGGCGTACAGCAAGGCAACCGTGTAGTTTTTACATTCACAGATTGGCTGAAACAGTACAAATTAAGCTTCTAATCTTCTAATGCCTTCCTCTCTGTTACCATAATTAGTAAGCAGTGTGAATTAAAACAAATGACAGACTACAGGTGGTTATAAAAATAGATAACTTGTAGAGGAAAGAATATCCACAGTGAGCAGAGCAAACTTGTAAAACTGGCCTTTTACCATAATGTGCAGAATATAATAACTATGTCCGAGAGGTACTGGCGACAGACTTCAGTGGTTAAAACAGCATTTGTAAAGGAAAAACACTCAAGTATAAAACCCAGAGGAGGAAGCTGAATGCAGATGAGATTATACAAAACACACACAATCCCAATTCCTCACATCTAATGACCCTACTTAACAGACACCACGATTAGCTTACAGCCCTTTATGTATCTTAAAAAGTAACACTTTGTGTCACCTATATACAAACTTTAAAAAAAGGTTTACCACCAGACAAGCAAAAACTGATTAACGGTAGCAATAAAATGGCTGAAATTCATAGCATTTTTGTGCGTTTTCATAGCCTTCTATGTATGGGACTTAAAAAAACCCCAAAACATTTTGGATAGGTTTTTTTTAATTCCCACCAAAAAAAAAAAAATCTAACCCACAATCGTTTCATGCACAGAAGAAAAAAAAAAAAATCCCAAACAAGAAAAAAAAAAAAAGATCAAAATCTCACAAAGTGACTGAACACCCATGGATATATAATTCACATGTGACATTCATTATGTTCCTTTAACACTTATCGAGTGCTCTGTAAGGTGACTGTGTAATGCAATCCTGAAACCAATCCCATTTAAGAAAGTGCAGCAATCCCTATTCTAACCATAGAATTAAAGCACTTATCCCACCTAGCGTGAGCTTCAGTCCGGTTGACATTCACATGGTTGGACCTGACGGAGTCCCCTTAAAGCTTCAGCTAGGATGCATGAAAGCCCTACACCGTAAAGGTTCCGAACCAAAAGTATCACAGGCAGTTATTCATCCTAGTTTCTCACAGGGAGGCAGGGCACACATGAGCTGTCCTGAGGTCACCCTTAGCCTAGACCAGTGTTCCCAAATTGCGGTCCTCGGAACACGTTCCGTTGCCAAAAAACGCCATTGTCTAGGATGTCCAGGACTTGCTGGGTTCGATGGAATTAAGCAGCTCCCACTGATACACTGATGCGCGTTCTACACCTTTAACGGGTGCAAAGACACAGCTTCCCTCAAACTCACCTTTCCAGGGAACACCCGCTGGATCCCAGGACACCTGTTTTCTATGGAACACTATTTGAGAAATTCCAATCTAGGCTAAGTAGTGGTTTTTGAATTTGAGTGACCAGCAGAAACACCTGGAAGCCTTGATAAAGTAGAGATACCCACCCCCTGCTTCAGGTCTGGGGCGGGACCTGGGAACCTGCATTTCCAACAGACTCCAAAGGACACTGCCTGCTGAGTCATGAGCTTGCTTTGAGCACTGCAGGTCCAGACAACCGCCCACACCAGCCTGAGCTGCAGGACGCCCTCCTTTGGCCACAGAAAAGGCTGCACGTGGCATGTGCCATAGTGATTTAACGGGAGGTCACATCAGTCTGGTGACATCTCAGAAAGGCCTGGCGCCTTGGTGGGGTGGAGGGGCGCTGGACCTGACCCCCGGCTCTACCCCTCCTCACCAGGTGACCAGGCATCGTGACTCCATCTTAAAAGGAATAACAGCAGCCCCCTCTCTGGGGATTTGCAAGGCTTAAAAGAGACATCCGCAAAAAAGCATTACCTAACAAAAAGCACCATACAAGTGTCTGTTGTTATCCCGAAGAATATGTCAATCACAGCGGCAAAGTCCCAGATGAGCTTTTGGGTCTTCTGCCGCTGCTGAGTCTTGATGAAATTGCACTGGTAACTAATAAAGAGAAAAGAGGCTAAAAAGGCAGAAAACTGCACAGAGCAGAAAATACGTAAGTGGATTATCTAATTTAAAACATCTAATTGTTAAAAAAAAAAAAAAAAAGATCGACCCACAATCAAAATAGTTAATTACGCTGGCTTGGAGACAGTGTTTAAAAGTTACAGCAAGCTGACCTTTAAACACACTCTCTCCTCCGCTTCATCAGCTCAGTGCTGGTTACCTTTTAACATCAAAAGAACGAGGGAAAAAAAAATCCCCCCACCCAAACACATACAGATGTAGAAAACTTAGCTGGGATAGTTCCAATCTTACGGGCTACCACAGTGTGCAACTTTCAAAAGACATTTTTAAAAAAGATCTTTAACGTGGTTCACAGAGATACCGCAGAACGAGACGTGAGTACACCCTTGCACATGTACGTATGCGTGTTTAGCTGCTGTGTAGTATATCTTAGCCAACGAACTGCCTCTCACAATTCAAAAATGAACCTGTAAAAATTCATACGCATCCATGGTGGGATTACAGTCAAGCAAACATCGTCTTGCCAAGTCCTGGCTTCCATCTGAACCCCAAAGACTGATCGGAAAGGCAGTACCTCCCCCGACACGTTGCATGATTCACTTTATGTGTGCTCTGGGTGGCACTGGAGACAAGACAACATATCTTGAACAGGTTTTCCTTCATAGCAGATCTGATACACGGCAGTAAACAGCGGAAACCTAGATGGGGAGAAAGGAGACAAAGACAAGATTAGACCGTCTGCTTTACCTCCTAGAACACAGGCGTTCTTCTGTCCTGCCTAACAGACAGCAGAGGAGCGTGCAACGTGGGAAAACAAAGGGATCATCTTCTCACTCTTTTATTATTTATTCTGCGAAGAGCCTCCGCACTGTGGCTGTAAGATCTGGGTCCCATCTAGACCACCCTCTGCCTAACCTAAGACTGGAGTGCAATCTCTCCATACAAGCCACAGGGTAATCCTTGCAGCTGAATCGGTGGCATTTACAGAAAGAGCTGTGGCACAGGCTCCTGGCCAAGCCTGAAATGAGCCCAAGTTTTGCCACTATTGTAAAAGATTGGAGGCTAAATTTTATATTGCAGGGAGGTATTGCGCTCCCTCCTCCAAAAAGGATCAGTCCCAAGGAGACGGTGAGGCAGCCCACATACGTCACCAGGAATAATTCAGGCCTGGAACGCTGCTGCGGGAATGAGCATGGGGACTGGCAATGAGCAAGGTACTGATCTCATGCTGGAAGCTGGGATTATTTTGCTTTATCTTCCAGGATGTGAAGAGAGATGTAAGTGTATGTTTGAAATGGATGAAGATACAAAGGTGTGGGCTAATAATCCCCTGTAAGAAAAGACAACAGCCTAGGGCCTGGCTGGCTCGGCTTTTTTTTTAAATGGCAGAAATCACTAAGGAAGTAACTAATTTCAATCAGGATTTTAAACAACCTCCCCCCCCACCAAAGTGAGCTTGACAGAATCAATAGTCTTTAAAGGCCATTCTGAAAATTAGCTGGTAGAACTGTACAAAATAGCAATTTAAGGAGAGCAAACAGTACTGATAGATCACATATCTCTATGAGAGTCTATCACTGTGGGTCCACCACCCGTCTGTCAGTCTGTCGTACGGTGGCAGCTTGTGCGTTGCTGTGATGCTGGAAGCTATGTCATCAGTATTTCAAATACCAGCAGGGTCACCCATGGTGGACAGGTTTCAGTGGAGCTTTCAGACTAAGACAGACTAGGAAGAAAGGCCTGGCAATCTACTTCCAAAACTGGCCAATGAAAACCTTATAGATCACAACAGAACATTGTCCGACTCGCTGCTTTGGAAATGTCATCAGGAGGCATCAATCACTGGAGGAAGATGTCATGTGTGGTGAAGGAGAGTGCCAGGAAGGCGACCCTTGGGAAGACGGACCGGCACAATAACTGTCATGATGGACTCGCATATGCTGGCAGTTGTGAGGGTGACGCGGGACCAGGCAACGTTTTGCTCTATTGTACAGAAAGTCACCATGAGTCAGAGTTGACTCAACTGCTCTCTCTCTGACATCTCTATCCCGTCTGTCTGTCCGTCCGTCCACCCACCCGCCAGCCCTGTGTTGTTGTTAGATGCCGTCGAGTCTGTTCCAACTCACAGTGACCCTACTACGTACAACAGAATGAAACACTGCCCGGTCCTGTGCCATCCTCATTGACTTTCTTATGCTTGATCCCACTGTTGCAGGCACTGTGTCAACCCACCTCTCTGAGGGTCCTCCTCTTTTTGGCCCACCTCTCCAATCTATGATTGTGGGTATTTTCAAGAATGGAATGTTCTGTTATTTTTTGGAGTCAGGCAGCCTTAAATCAAATCTGACTCCATGGCCTGTTAACTCCGGACAGTCCCACAACCCCCGGGCCCTGCTTTCTCCTGTAAAACGGAGCGGGGCACGCAGGCCTGCTGGGGGCATTCCGTGACTTACATGGACTATGAGCGGCACAGAGCCTGGCACATGGAGGTGTGCGATCAATGGCAACTCAGCAAAGCAGCCACAAGACGGACCCTGTACCCCAGGCTGCAGCAAACCCTCACATTCACAGAAGCATTTACAGGGAAAGTCCACTGACCCCTGATCTCAACAGGCATGGAAGAAAGCTTCCCTGAGGACAGGCTGCTGCTGAAGGGTGATGGGAACTGAGATGCACATAGAAGAGCGGTCTGGGCAGCCCAACAGCAGGACAGAAGCACGTGTGAGTCTGAGGAGGGGGCGTCTGAGGGCAAAGAGAAGCCTGCGTTCAACTGCTGGCACAGGACATACTGTGAGCAAGCTAAGCTGCTACTGGACCGAGGGAGGCCGCCTCAAACACCAGCCTAAGGACTGTGGACTTAATTGTGTAAGGGCAGCAAGCCTCTAGTTCCCCGGTGGCACAAATGGTTTAGTGCCCAGCTGCTAACTGAAAGGCTGGAGGTTCAAATCTACCCAGAGCTACCTTGAAGAAAGGCCTGGCAACCTGCTTCCAAAAGGTCACAGGCTTGAAAGCCCTGTGCAGCACAGTTCTACTCTGCACACACAGGGCCGCTGTGAGTTGGAATCCACTCGACGGCAGCTGGGTTAGGGAGCCTGCAAATCAGAGATCTCAAGGTCAAAGTGCGCATAGTGATCATCTGCTCTAACATTTCGATTTGATGGACAAGAAAACTGAGGCCTGGAACAGAGAAAAACAGAACTTGCTGCAAACCATACGGCCAGTCAGCAACAAGGGGAACTTCAACGCTGACCTCCAGCCCATCTACTCCCTGCTCCGTCTGTAACAGTGGAAAACAGAAGGGTGGAAGGAGACAGAGGGAGACCGGAGTACTGATAACTGGAATAAAGAAGAGAAAATGAAGGTACGAGGTGGTACAAAGGGAAAATGACCGAACTCGGCTCTGCCCGGGCAGCATCGCGAGGTGGGTGTCACAGGGGACGGGGCGGTCCCCAAGGACTCCAGACCCCAGGCTGGGAGATGGATGGCGTCACCTCCAATCCAGCGGCAATGTCCTTACACACAGGAGTGGTCTGCTCAAGTTCAAATCAGAAGAAATAAAATGGGACATGACTGATGAGAGGCTTCTCCTCACAGCCAAGTCTCACCTGCTTGACTGTGCTTTTTATAACAGGCGGCTACTGAGCCCAGAAGCCCAGTTCCAGTCCGTATTCTCCCTGGAGCTGAATGATGCATACAAATAATGCCCAGTCAACCTGCTGATCCACAGAATCCCGTGGAAGGCACCCCTTGGTCCAAACGGGTGCCATGTTAAAACTGTGGCTGGGAGCTCACCCTCACCAAATGTCCAGGGATATTTTTTTAAGGCTTTAAAAAAAATTCCTGATAAATACTGAATGGTTATTAAAGTAGCCCGACCGTACATAAATACATCACTGACCACTGCTAGGGACATAAAGAAAACCACGTCTGTTGGAAAAGGTATTTTCCTTTTAGTCATAATTTAAAGGTAATTCTCTTGCTCTCGAGGCCTTTACTGAATTTCCGTCTCTGCCAGGCAGATTTGTAAAGTCATTTCAGCAGAGTCAAGTGGAAATTAAATAGGGAAGACAAATGCCCTGTCAACTTTCATTGTGGAGATGGACGGCTGATGAATTTGTACCAGGAAGAGGTGAGCTGAGCTGCGGGTGAGGTAAAGACGAGCGGAGGGGAGCAGCAGAGACGTCTGGACTGACCTGAGGGAGGAGGAATGGGCCACGACCGGAGGTGACAGCAGGTGCTGTGCCCCGCCGCCCGGCTCACCAAGAAGAGCGCTCACTAAGGATTAGGCACAAGTGACAGCGTCGATACGGCCCAGCTCCCTGCTCTCCCAGGCAACCGAACTGCCCCTCTCCCGAGGAGTATTATGGGAGAAGTGAGGATAGACGACCAAATACACTGCATAAGCATTTATTGGGCCTGTGATTGTGAGTGGAGGCTTGACACATCAGGGAGATAAAGGGCGGCAGGGCCGGGGTGGGGTGCGGGGAGCAGCCTCGGAGAAGGTGGGGAGCAGCCTCGGAGAGAGTGGACAGCTTTTGGTGTACTACAGGGTGTGCTCTCTCAGAAGGCGGCAAACCAAGCTGAGCCAACGCCCCTCCCTTTAACACATGACCGCGTGGAAGAGTCGCGGGGTTCCGGTGGTAGAAATAATACCAGCTGCTGTGGAGTCAACCCTGAATCACGGAGACACCATGTGGGTCACAGCAGAACTGTGCTCCATAGGGTTTTCAATGGCTGATCTCTTGGGAAGTAGATTGCCAGGCCTTTCTTCTGAGAAGCCTCTGGGTGGACTCGAACCTCCAGTTAGCAGCCCAGTGCATAAACCATTTGCATCACGCAGGGACTCCAGAAAAATACTTAGGTCTAACAGGGACCCCAATCAAGCTTCCTTCCTTCCTCCCTTCCTCTTTCCCTCCCTCCTTCCCTCCTTCGTTCCTTCCATCCATCCATCCATCCATCCAAACGTCAACACAGGCCACTCCCAATGGCAGACTCTGGAGTAATATGTTCTTCTTTGCTGAATTATTTGACATTTCATTAACGAGAATGTATCTTTCCATAAAAACAACGAAGTAATCATTGTTTAAAAATGAAAAGCCCACGGCACGAAGCGCTCGCCAAACACACCGCAGGACAAAGCAGAGTCTCAAGCCTCACATTTCACAGTGCACCGTGCAGCCGAGCTCCTCGCGCTGGAGTTGAGCCTGGTTTGGGGTTTTGTATAAACACTCGTTTGCAGGTTAGGTGGGTGTCTCCTGCCACATGTGTTCACACAAAGGCCTGAACTAATCTGTTCACGTCCCAAGTGCACCTATCAAGTAGCTTGTGCTCACATGCACTGGGCTGGTGGTCAGGGGAGAAGGGGAGGGTGGACAGGCATCTGGTCTCCCGGGCCACGGGGAAACTTACTTGTCCATCAGTCCCTTCTGCTTGAGGATGCGGTACACTTCTGCAGAAGTTTGAGGACCCTGGAGTTTCTGTCCATTCAGCATCTCTTCCTCCAGTTCTTGAATGGTCTTAAAAACGAAGGTTAAGGGAGTAAGAAATAAGGGATGAAGAAAATCTCCAAAAAAGACTAGAGAATCACTTATTTCAAGAGGAGAGTGGGGGAGGAGAAATATGTGCCCCTGCTGCAGGCCAGAGAAAGGTAACAACCTACAAGACAAAGGAACAGGAATCAGGAACTCTGACGTGAAGACAGAAGGAGCCCAGCAGACTACAAACGCCGACTTGCATCTTCACGGGGCTGTGCTTACACCCACCCGGGAGTCTTTTCTTTTTTTAGTTTTTTGAGCTTTAGGTAAAAGTTTGCAGCACAAATAAGTTTCTCATTCAAAAATTTATACGCAGATTGTTTTATGACATTGGTCGCAACCCCTGCAATGTGACAGCACCCTCCTCCCTTCCACTCCAGGTTCCCCATGTCCATTTATCCAACTTTCCTGTCCCTTCCTGTCTTCTCATCTTGCTTTAGGGCAGTTGCCCGTTTGGTCCCATATACTTGATTGAACTAAGAAGCACGTTCCTCACGTGTGTTATGGTTTGTTTCATAGGCCTGTCTAATCTTTGTCTGAAAAGTGGACTTTGAGAGTGGCTTCAGTTCTGAGTGAGCAGGGTGTCCAAGGGGCCACTGTCTTGGGCAATCCGGGAGTCCTGAGTGAGAAGGGAGGGGGGTGGGGAGGGAAGGTGAGGGCTACCTTGCCTGTCCTGGCAAACGCCTCGGCCACCCTGCGGTTCCGGCCCCCGTAGCAGGTGGTGATCAGGTCGGCCACCCCGCAGCTCTCTAGGAAGGTGGCTGTGGACACCTGGCCCTTGCAGAAGATCCTGGCGAACGAGATCATCTCCATGAGGCCCAAGCGGATGACTGCAGCTTTGGTGTTATCTCCACAGCGCAGGCCGTCACAGAACCCGGCTCCCACGGCTACGATGTTCTGCAAAGGAGATGACAAAGCTGAGGGGTGCTGCCTTCCCCACGGGAGAGAGGCAGGGCAGGGACAGACCAGGGATGCTGGCTCCACCTGCAACATGCACAGCTGGTTCAGGCACATCCTGGGGTCTGCTCTTGTACACAGGGGTCAGGCCAAGGAAAGGGGGCACAGGGCCTCTCTATGCCCATCTACAGGACAAAGGGCCAGACGTGGGGTCAGCAGGAGGTAACAGCTGAGGAACACAGGCCAGAGAACCAGAACGGCTGACAGTCCATGATCAAATGCTGTTTGGGCAAACTGCTTTACCTTTTGTGAGTTTTTCATTGAATGCTTCTGAAGCCCTGGCGGCGCAGCAGTTAAGAGCTCGGCTGCTGACCAAAAGGTTGGCAGTTCGAATCCAGAGTTTCTCCTTGGAAACCCTATAGGGCCGTTCTACTCTGTCCTCTAGAGTCACTATCAGTCAGAGTCGACTCAATGACAATGGTTTTATTTATTTTCTAATTAAGCTGTAACATTCACACAGAAAAGTACACAAATCCTAAGTACACGGCTTGATGAATTTTCACAAACTGAATACAGCCACGTAACCAGCACTCGGATTAAGGAACAGGACATAACCCGTGCCCCAAGAAAGCCCCCTGCAGCCCCCTCCAGTCACCCCCCTACCAAAGGTACACACTCTCCTGACTTCTAACCACACAGACTCATTCTGCCCATCCTTGAATTTCGTATCAGTGAAATCACACAGTACGTCATCTTCTGAATCTGGCTTCTTTGGCTCAATCCAATATTACGGTAGTGACATTCACCTACATTTTACATATAGCACGTTTATTCTAATGTGCACGAATGAATTTACTTATCCGTTCTTCCGGTCCAAGTCCTTTGGTGACTGTTATTGTTATTGGTTGTTGTCAAGTCGATTCCGACTCATGGTGACCCCGCATGTGCAGAGTAAACCTGTGCTCCATAGGGCTTTCAAGACTGTGATCTTTCGGAAGCAGATTGCCAGGTCTGTCTTCCGAGGCACCAGAACTGCCAAACTTTTGGCTAGTAGTCGAGTGCTTAACCGTCTGTGCCACCCAGGGGCTTCTCTGGTGCTAAGTGCAGGCATTTCTGTTGGCTGTGGACTTAGGAGTGGAACTGCTGGGTCATAAGGAATTGCTGCAGGTCAACTGCCTGTTTTGTAAATAAAGTTTTACCGGAACACATCACTTACATATTATCTACAGCTGCTTCTGCCCTACAACAGCAGAGTTGAGTAGTGGCAACACAGAGCTCCTAGCCTAAGATGGACTAGTAAGAAAGACCTGGAAATCTACTTCCAAAAATCAGCCAATGAAAACCCTATGAATTCCAACAGTCTGATCTGCAATCGATCATGGGGATGGCACAGGGCTGGGCAGTGTTTTGTTCTGTTGTGTACAGGGTCGCCATGCAATGAAATCCAACAACAACAACATATATGGATTTACACCGTCGTAGACCTCAAAACACGAGGCTAATTGTTGTTGTTGCTGTTTAAATGCCATCGAGTAGGTTCTGACTCATGGAGACCCCGTGTACAACAGAACGAAACACAGCCAGATCCTGCGCCATCCTCACAATCACTGTTATGGATCAGCCCATTGTTGCAGCCACTGTGTCAGTCCATCTCGTTGAGGGTCTTCCTCTTTTTCACTGACCCTCTACTTTATCAAGCACGATGTCCTTCTCCAGGGACTGGTCCCTCCTGATAATATGTCCTAAGTGTGTGAGACGAAGTCTCACCCTCCTTGATTCTAAAGAGCATTCTGGCTGTACTTCTTTCAAGACATGAAGCCAGTTGCTAGCAAACAGGTAATTAACTCAGGTAAGTGCTTTTCCTCCACTCCCTGTCCCCCCTCTCCACCCCACAAATAAGGTTCATTAATGAGAGACAGAATATTTCTTAAAACATCAGGTCTATACAATCTGAGGGATAAACAGAAAAACAGGACAGAGGAGGAAAAACATGTTCTCTGGTAGATAAGCAACTTTTGATAAAATACATCAAATACAGCACTGATGTGGCCGGTCGCCAGGAGAAACAAATCCCGGCATTTCCACAGTTCTCACTCACCGGGAACCGAGTCACAAAGCCACTTCAGATGGAAAAAAGAAAATCTGATACGCCCTCTGGGAGCTTTCATCCACTTTCGGTAGACAGACAGAAGGCAACCTTCTCATCCCTGCTTCCGCCAAATAAAGAGGGTGAGGGGATAAAGGATCAGAACAGAGAGGGCCCTAAGTGTATCTTCTTTCCCTCCCTCCTCAGTAATAACCTAGAGCTTACTTTGGTTGCCAGCTATTCTTCTCACTGTTATCGATCCACAAATGAAAAACTGGAAAGTCTCTAAAAATGATCAGAAAGCTGGCATGAACCCATCCAGGTTTTAGACAAATCCACGCTACATGCGTGTCCTAGACGGTCTCCTGGTGAGGTTTAGAACTTTAAAAGACAATGGAGTAGCTTTCAAGTCCATCATTCTCCCCCTACAAAGGCCGGAGGAGCCCTGTGGTGTAGTGGTTAAGAGCTTGGCAGTTCGAATTCACCAGCCGCTCCTTGGGCACCCTATGGGGCAGTTCTACTCTGTCCTATAGGGTTGCTATGAGTTGGAATGGGCTCCATGGCAATGAGTTTGGGTTTTTTTGGATGAAGGTCAGGCTCCATTTATTCTCTGGTGCCTCCCAACTCAGGCAGAGCCCATGAGGAATCAGGTCTTACGAACATGTATCTTCATAAGGTATCAATTTCTGCCTGTCCCTGAGAAAGCTCCTCAACCCTTCCTGCCACCCCTGCAACGCTAACTTGTGGGTCTGATCAGTTTCCCGAGAGCCATCATCCAAAACGACCTGCGTGTGCAGTGATGAGGAAGTGGGGTGGCCTCAAGGCTTAGGGCCCTCTTAGCTCTGCACATCATGGGGGGGACATTATGGGAGGGGCGGGGGAGGCGGTGTGCAAGGAGCCCCGAGAGACACCGAGGGGTGAGGTGGGGTCTGGTCCTGAACCTGTGCTCCAGATGGATGAGCTGCAGAGACAGGATGGAACACCCAGACCTTTTAGGATGGGGTGCTGTGCAGACACTGAGCTGGGTCCCAGCAAGCTCAGACATATGGCAGCCAGACTAAAGAAGCCATTAGGAGAGACACGGGTTCCCAGCAATCTGGTTCTCACTCTGCCTTGTGGCTGTGTGACCTTGGACCAATCACTCCATCTCTCCGGGCTGCCTGCCTCAGGTGTAAAGTTCAGGGCTTGGACAGGACCTTTCAAGGCCCTCTGGTGGTGACATTCCTCCAGGGAAGCTGGTGGGGCTGTAGCCTGTCCTGGGGCTGTAGACAGCAGAACAGTCCTGGTGTATCCTGGGGACATGCAGAGGCCTTGAGGCTGACTGTTGGATGTGTCTACCCAAAGGGTTCACTGATGTTGCCAAGGCAACAGGGAGCAGCCTAGCATTAGGACTGTTGGTCACGCTGTTGGATGGGCTGAAATTGTTCTCTGACACCTCCAACCGAACTTCTGGATCGTGTTTCTGTGTCAAACCCTCTGCTTGCCAAGATGACTGTTAACTGACAAAGTAACCCCCGTGACTGTAGACTGAACGGAAGATTACACAGACCTCCGTTCAAGCAGGGGTGCCTACAAACGGAGCAGGGGAGAGGGGCTGTTTCAGTGCCAACAGAGAGCCACACCAGGCGCGCTGCATATACCGTCTGCCCTGTACATGCACTCTCAGGGCTATGCTGAGAAGCGTGTACCTGTCATCCCACGTCCGGACTGGGGGAACCGAGGCCCAGAGGGGCCAGTGACTTGCCGAGAACACCTCACTGGTGGTGATGGAGTCAGGATGCATGCCCGGCCACCTGGCTCCCAGGGTCAGCTGTCCCCATGCCTGGCTGCTTCCACTGTGTGGAAAATTTGGCCTGGCTGACCCCACTCCCCAGGTCAAAGAGACCTTCTTGAACCTTCTGCAACTAAATGACAAGGGGAAGTGTCCCCTGACCCCCACCCGGCCTGCATGGTGGCTTGTGTGGAAAAAAGGATACGCTCTGAAACAGAAAAGATTGTGTGAGAAAAGGCAATAAAATAACAACAACAGGAGCAGCTAACCTTACTGAACTGTTCTAAGAGCTTTATATATTATTAATTCATTGAATCCTCACAACATTCCTGTCCTAGTTACCTAGTGTTGCTATAACAGAAATACCACAGGTGGATGACTTTAACAAAGAGAAATTTATTCTCTCACAGTCTAGGAGGCTGGAAGTCCAAATTCAGGGTGCCAGCTCCAGGGGACGCTTTCTGTCTCTGCTGCCTCTGGGGAAGATCCTTGTCATCCATCTTCCCTGGTCTAGTTGCTTCTCAGCACAGGGACCCTGGGTCCAAAGGATGCGCTATTCTCCTGGCTTTTGTTTCTTGGTGGTATGAGGTTCCCAAGTCTCTCTGCTCGCTTCTCTTTCATATCTCAAAAGAGACTGACTTAAGACACAACATAATCTTGTAGATTGAGTCCTGCCTCATTAACATAACTGCTGCTAATCCCACCTCATTAACATCATAGAGGTAGAATTTACAACACATAGGAAAATCATGTCAGATGACAAAATGGTGGACAATCACACAATACTGGGAATTACAGACCAGCCAAGCTGACACATCTTTTGGGGGACACAATTCAGTCCATAACAATTCCTACAAGGTGGTTGTTAGCTGCCGTTGAGTTGATTGAGACTCATGGTGACCCCACGTGTACAGAGCAGAACTGCCCAACAGTGCTTTCAAGGCTGTGACCTTTCGGAAGCAGATTGCCAGGACTTTCTCCTGAGGCACCTGGGGTTGGGTTCGAACTGCCAATCTTTTGGCTAGTAGTCAAGTGATTAAACATCTGTGGCACCCAGGGACTCCTCCTACCAGGTAAAAAACCGGACCCATTGCCGTTGGGTCAACTATGACTCATGGCAACCCCATGTATTACAGAGGAGAA